CCTGGTCTCCCGGTGTCTCGCGTTGTGCTGATTCCATGGAGTCGAGAGCTTCGTCAAGCCGGTGTTCGAGCTGTCCCTGCGAGGTTCGTGCCGGACGCCGGCAGCGTTCTGTCTGGTTCCCGTGCTGTGGTCTGGTCGATGGTGGTCGTTGCCGCGGGGGAGGCAGCACCACAAACGGTAGGAGCGCCTCTCGCAGCTTGGTCGGTATTGCTGCTATGTAGCCCTCGCCGGTAGCCCAGTCATCCACGTCCGCGATCTTCGACGCCAACTCTGTGGAGACGCGGGTCACAGCAGAGGCGGCTAGGTCGAACTCAGCCTCCGTAAGTTGGCGGAGACGAAGGCGAGGTTGCTTGGCAGGGGCAGAGTGTGGTCCAATAGGTATCGTAGGGAAAATCTCCCCGCCGTCTCGCGCTGCTACCTCGGCTTCGTCCTCCATCTCGGTCTCTGCGTATCCATCCGGCATGGCAGCAGGATTCACAGGGGGTACAGTTGCGTCGCTCGGTGACGGTCCGGTCAGGTCTGGGGAGGGTAGCGTCGACGGGCGGAAGCACTGCTCAAGCGAGCCGTCGTGTGGTCCGCATTCCGTTACCGTGCGCCTGAGGTTGAGAGCTCGGTTGGCGAGACGGTCAGCGTGCTGGTTTGCCTTCCGGTCGATGTGCATCAGACGATGCCAGTCGAGCTCTCGGAGGACGCTCTGTACTCGATTCCGGAGTGCGCGGAGACGCTTGTTATTACAGGCGAAGGAACCTCGAACTTGCGACAGTGCCAGGTGGCCGTCGCCCTCGATACGCAGGCATCTCGCTCCGTGGTGGACCGCGCTCTGGGCACCTAGTAGCATCGCAGTGTATTCCGCAGTGTTATTTGTTTCCCTTCCAGTCATGTAGTGCGCTACCGTCCAGACGATCTTGCCATTCGGTGCGAACAGTGCTGCTCCCGCTCCACCTGGGCCTGGGTTGTGACGGCATGCGCCATCGAAGCGCAGTAGCCAAGGTTCGTCGTCTGCAGAGGTCTCCGGGGTAGTGTCCACTACTGCCGGCGCCGGTGGTAGTTGGTGTGTATCGACGGGGGCTGGGCGATGCGTTGGTGCCGGAGCAGTCGGGAGGCCCGTAACCAAGTGAGCGATAGCCGCCGATCCGATCGCGCCGTGACGTGGCCCCCACCGTGATGCAGCAACATTCGCTGCAACGGAGGCCAGAGGTCGGTGCGCTGCCGGGAGGGCGGCTTGTGCACTGGTCCTGGGAATCGTCGTGTCGGCAACAGGGAGACGTGGGCCCCATCGCGTTGTCGAGCGAAGAGAAGGAGTCGGGGGCTGGGCCACGTCGGGTGTCCGCGTCACGGCCAAATGGGGAGGTTCTGCCGGTGTGGGTAGGAGCATCGCCTGTGGGTGGGTGACGTGAGCTTCATCGACGGTGATGCCACCGTTGAGACGGCGGCGCTTTCCGGATAGACGGCGTTCCACCGGCGGTGAGAGCGTCGCCAGTGCGGGGGGGGTCGTACCGGCGCTCATGATGCAGAGAGGAAGGCAGCACGGTGCTCTGAAGCGTGGCGGCGGCTGAGGACACGGTGA